ATAGGCACCATTCAACCTGAACAGAACCTGAACGAACCACTGTTTTATTGATAAAGCGATTTCAAACTGTTTTCAACAGTAGTTTATTATTTTGACATCTCAATAAATTATCGTAAACATCGGTCTCTGAAACGAATCCTTTCCGGGTATCCATGTTCACTAGTTCGGAATTAAAACAGAATGTAAGAAAATTATGTTGAATATTTGCTACAGAGTGCCTTCACAAATGTGATGCAAATAGATCGGATTTAAGCTTCGCAATTACTTAGTCTCATATATTATTAGGGAATTATATTCGTAAGAGTTTGTGTTTTTCAGTAACATGTTATATAAATCACTGATATTTCAAATGGTAGATATTCTGTTCACATTCCAGTGACGTCTGTGACACTGATGGCTAGACGGGAGTTATTTGCAACTAAATGTCACTGCATGCAAGGTCAATTCAGTCTTTACAGTTTTTACGATTTTTTCGCAATATATCAATTTGCATATAACTTGATAAATGCGGATGATCAATATGTTCTTCTTACTCCAAATTCGCATCATTGTGAACAGTGAAAAATTGTGGCTCATCAAATAGTCTAGTAGTATCCACATGATGCTAAGACGACATGTATTGATAGTATATGATGATTTTTTCTGGTTGTTAAGTAAACTGAACTAACATTCGTGATTGTAATATCTTGTTTTTTGGAAAGAGCTCGTGGTAATAAATATTAAAACAGAAGAAACTTTGATAAAGTGCCTTTTCATTAACTACGTTATCAATATTTTCGTTGTTTAATTCGCTGAAAATTCGTTACATCCTAGTATAGGTCACAACAGTAGCTTGCATTCACGATAGTATCAAGTCCAATAGATTCAACCTCGCGTGAAAACGCTTCTAATCCAAAAATTTTGAGTAGTCCGTTGTTCGTTTTCATTCAAAGTATTTATTATCGATTTGCGCTTCAGTATTCAAGTGATTGTTTTTTACAGTCATTTTCGCGCATTCACTTTCAAATTTTGTCGAACAACTTTTGAAGCATAATTTCTCAGTCGGTGTGCTGCGCTACTATCTACTTTAAGTGTTCTTGAATTATGTCGCTGATGTTACTCACATCGCAGGTGAGCTTGATGATGAATGCTGATTGAGTAATATATCATGCGATTTCGATTAGTAACTTAGTCCTGGACAGAAGGTCGACCGAATGTTACAACAGCTAAACTAGCCCACTCGTAACATTTCACAATCAAATCACTACTTTCAAACATTTTACAATCGATAAATATGATTTTTATTCGGTATATTTCATGTTCGAGCAAATTTATTGTATTACTTTTAGTCCGTGGTTCGTGTAATCTGTTACCAGCTGAAAAATGTCATCATAATAATATGACTTCATTTTGAAAACGAAAAAGACATGACAGATAAGATAAGATTCACTTCAAACATTTCACTTGCTAAAGCCATCGCGGTCTGGCTCGTAGATCGGTCTTCTGGGATTATTAATCCATCACCAAAATGGAGACAGATGTGAATACAGCGATCGCTATCTGCTTGAGCTAGAAAGCGACCAGTGTCTTTGGCACGAACTCTGACGTTGGCAACATTTTTTCACGTGGTTTAGTTTTCTTCGGAAATCTATCATTTTTAGGGTAGTATACAGATTTAGTAAAATTATGTATTATACGACTGTGCAGTTTTCCTAGAAAGCAAACTTTCTAAGCTTTTAATCAGTTAATATATAATTGCCGTAGACTAGCATTCTGAAATGCTATATAAAACCGACAGCTGTTCTTAACGTTCTTGACTTCTGAATACACTGGATTAAACCTACTTATTCTTACACCTAATAACTGAACGTCTTATCCATAAAATCTCTCCACAACTGCACTGATTTTAAGTAATAACCCAGTTAGTAACTTACAAGTTATACCATTATATTTCTGCTCTAATTAGACAAGCGATTATCACACTCAATGTTCCATTATGACCAATATTTCAGGTAAAAGAGAAATGTCTCCAACTTCTAAACCAACCAAAAAATCAAAATCAGTCAATTTCATGTCTGATGAATCTAATATTGGAAGAGGCACACCTTCTTGTAAACCCTGTACCTCTTATCAACAAATTTCACCGTCTTTAGCCAGTAATCGGTGTGACAACTCTTCACCAAGTATTATAACGATGAAACTCGTAGATATCAGAGATACTAAACCCACGTATACCGAAACGTCAACACAAAATAAACTTCAGCATAATACTGTGAAGCCGAAATCTGAAAATCCACAAACCAAGGAGTTAATGATCCATTCGAAACCGATCATAGTAGTAATAACCATGGCTGCGACATACGACAGTTACAGGACTCACTTGCCAAAATTAACGATCAGCTTATCCTGTTAGCACCCCTCACGCACTAATGGTAGGAGCCTCGAGGAATTAACAAAAGCTGAATACATCCAATAGTTTGTAGCTGAGGGAGTTACGAAAAGACTAATGATTTCCTGCAATGTGATTGCATATAAACTCTCTGACCGCACATCCTTGACTTCGCTAAAGGATACCTGTCTACAAGCGTGTGGTGTGGCAAACGTCAGTTGTCAAGTCACACGCCTCAGAGAAAATTTGGATGAATCAACTTGCCCTCTTTTGTTCAAATTTGGCTGCTGCAACGACGCCAAACAATTTAATAATTTGTGCAAAAATATAAGCTCATAAACCGTGTAAAAAGTCATAGAGGTTACTGCAGTTCTAACGCCTTGTCAACGTCGTATAAAAAGACGAGAGGCGACTGTGTCTCAACAAACAATGTGCTGGAGACAACTCTCAATTTCATAAGTATAAATAAACGCATAAACTACTCGGTAGATTTTGATGAGTCTATGGACTCTAGAAATTTAAATAAAGTACGAATCCCAACTGTCATCGAAAAGTCTAACAACACCTGCATTTCTAGTCCGGGCTGTTCGAACGTTAAATTGCTTGAATATATCCCAAAAAGCAAGACAATTCCAGCCAAGATTAATAAATTAAAGACTAGATCCCCAAAATATATTACACGAACTTCTCTCGTAAAACACGTCTGGGGGATCAAAACACTGCACAACCACTGAATCCTAGGGTAATTAGTGACAGTGGAAGTAGAAGATTTTTCACCCCACACCCTATCTTAAATAACCAGGCTATTTTTTCGCTAACCACCCCTCCTCTAAATTTCAGTAATTTAATAAACATGTCCCCCCTAACTCCTCATACCACACCCACGAAGGTCAAAGTAACTCCTTTACTCACGATACACTGAACTATTTTAGCTTAGCGGGACATCTGTTTAATATATGTCCTAATGATGCTGTAATGATGCTGTCCTAATGATGATGTAATAAAAAGGCAGATCTAGTCATGTTTGCAACTATTTGACATCAGTTATAATGATAACTGATGTATGGACTTCCACTTATATTTCTGATGATTCTGAGACCATTCCGAAAGATTTCCCAAACAACAATACGAAAGGCCTGACGAGGTTTAGTGGATCTACGTTTTATGGTTGTGCTTCCTATATCAAGGCTGCATATGACGACATTATTTTCTCTACCTGGGAACGATTTTCCAACATATACAGTATTTTGGTAGAACAGTGAGAAGACGTAATTGATCTGAAAAAAGTGATGTATTCGCGACATATATTTCGAACCATCTGGTCACACACATTCACATGTCAAGGCATATAATATGTGTAGATGAATAAAAGGTCAAATAGATAAGAGTTAAAATAGTAGACTTGAGGTGATAATTGTAAATAAAAGAGAGAGAAACAGGCTGGTGGTCAAAGGAATATTCGACTTACTCCAAACTTAGCGCTTAGAAAACCCAGAATCCATGCTCTCGGTGAAGTGAACAGGATGTGACATTATCGACCCCATAGTCTTGAAACAGTATGCAGAAGCTGTCAGTTCACTGATGAGTAGGCTGTTCACGCATTCAGTGGAGTGTCACACAATTCCAGTCGAATGAGTCCGAATCACTCTTTCTTCAGTCTTTAACGAACCTTTCATACTAGTCGCATTAATGCCATACTATCGAACGTATTGGGAGGTAAAGTGAACGTTCAAATGAAGTAGTACGTGGATAAGAACTAAATTCTTCCTGAAACTCAACAGGGTTTTGTATAATTTGATCGTACACGCCATGGGGTTAAAAACATTGTTTTAATCTATTTAGTTTAAAGGATATGAACCAGTTGGATGGAGTGCGTAGTGGAGCAACGAAATGGCTGATAGGGTTGAAGAATGAACTTTACGAAGACAGACTTGCGCGAACGCGATTGTAATTATTATTACTGGAGGGTCAGAAAAGTTCTGATAACGGCACAGAACATATTCAGCACGCCGAATCATCCCAACACCAGCATCTTACAGAAGTATGACAACCACGGTCTTCAAAATGATACTGAAAAACTTTAGTGTCAAATAGTGTACACCCAGGTTCATGTACATATCTCATCAAGAGTCTTTGCAACTTGCAGTGATCACCCAGCCAATGTTACCACAGTCCAGTCAGTGAACAGTCTTTGTTGTAGCCATCTCCGCAAACTTATCTTTTCTCGCTTTCTATTTTTGTTTCCTCTTCCTAACCTATATTGCGATCCTCGCGCACAAACCTCACTAACCATTAATAAACCTAATCATTCATTTATTTACAGTTCTGAAATCATTTTACTATCAGTAAACGTTTCTCCCTTATATTCTCCATGAAGAAACTAATTGATTTCGTGCCTAGTAATGAGATCTCTGTTTATATACAGCATCCAGCAATTCAAAGAAATCGATTGGTCAATACAAGATTGTGAATAATGCTTCGAAAATGTATATTGGACTGGCTAGACCTCCATCCATTGGACATTACCGAACACCTGGAACCGTACCGAAAGAACAAGAATCGAGCACGAAGAAATCAAATTGGTTTATACTAGCTCGTGATAAAGATATTGGATATTGGATGCTGAAAATGGCCGCTCTATTGAGAACCTATGTTGTTGGTTTTCGTGTGGTGTCAATTTAGCATTTTGGTAAGCTTGCCTATGAATTACATGAAGTGGAGCGGCTTCAATGTACTGAGTTACACAGAGTGATATGGTCTCAGTTTACTGTGCATCTGTCCGAATATGAGAGAACTGGAACCAACCTCCATCCCTAAAATTACCTTCAGTCGTTGGTTTGTTTTCGTTTTTGTACAAAGCACTGTAAGCCGAAAGGATGCACATACATTAGATTGAGAAATTAGTCGATATCAATCAGAAAAAACACAAGCATAATATGAAGAATAACTGGTAGTTGGAACTGAGGGTCGTAAGTGAAATGTTTGGAATGCAGGACTGTAGCTTCGCTTTCAAGACCTCACCTCTCGTTATGTTCATTGTACGTTAGGTCGTGCAGATGGTTGCTTTTAAATGTTCTTATTCGTTACCAGTCACCATCCGTCAACATGAGGTATTTTGAAGCTAGACTCAAACATACTGATAATTGGATATAATGGTCCTGTAACTTGTTTTCCTCTCCAAAAATGCATATAGCTTCTTTACAGAATAAGCGAGAATGCTCACAGCGCGTCATTGTTTATTATGTCTGATTGATTTGCAATATGTGTTTCGAATAAAGTGATTGTTGAGTATCTTGCGTGTTGCTGTTCGTTCCTGCTTTTCTCTCATAAGGTCAAAGAACATTACACTGACTGTTCGAATATCACCGTTAATGCGTGGATGATATTCAGACGAATTTAGGAGTGATATAAGCAGCTCTCATTTAACAGTGAACGGGTATGACGTTACTGCCACAACTGCGATCAACTAGTAAAGATCAGAATATTTGATCTTCCTGTTGTTAAGTCCACGAAGTTATTTAACCTTATCATTACCTCTGTTATGAATTCATTCTAACTTATCTGTACCATATTTTACAACTTTCTCAGGTTGAAGTTCCTAATATGCAACTGCTGCGTAGATAATTTGATCGGTTCGCATTATCTACACTTTATTCTCCCAACTATTTTAACATATTTCGATTTGATACAAGATGGATGGATTGACATCTCTCGCGAAATTTACAGATTAATTTTATCTTGGATGAATTCCATGGTGAGTGCTTTATGTTACAGTATTCTGATTAGTGTGTTTAGGTCAGTGGGGAAATACTTTAATCTGCCCGTCGAATATCTACAATGCCCTTGGAATCTTTCTTTGTGTCAGCGAAAACAATACAAAATCTGAAATGATAAAGGCGATGCAGTTATCTGACCTTTGGAATGCCATGAGGTTGATTGTAGGATCGGTCAACTTCTAAATAAATGTTCGAGACGCAATGATGGTGTTGAGATAGTGCTCGGTAATAAAGTTTCCGCTGCAGAGAATTTGAGAATCAAGGAGCAGTTCTGGATTAATTTGAAGACATACTACGATACCGAATGAGAACATGTGAGTTTATGTTGTATGTTACCAGTTTTGCACGTGTAGGTGGTATTTGAGACCGATGCGTATGGTTCTGTAAAGTGAATGAATCAGTGGGTTAGTGAGCAGACTAGAAGAGAAATTCAAGGACTCCTTTCACCTAGTTCTTTAACAAGTGACACGTTTCGTGTAGTGACAGCTATTACATATTTTTCAAAGTTAAAAGAATGCATGCAACTAACTCACTGACTGAAGTTCTTTGAAATTCGATGCACCTTATATTTGTGTCTCTGCTATATCAGTTGACAAATCTTAACGAGCGTTGTTATTTAGGTATGTGAAATGTGGCTTGCTTAGATGCCTTAACTTTGACAAGCCGAGCGGTTTCGAACCTGTAACCTACTAGATGGTGGAAGTAGAAAAGTGATATTTACTGTCCCTGTTCATTCTGCAAACAGGTCAAAATAATGAGCGTCAAGTGTACTTTAATGTATATACGGTGGATTGATCACTGAGTAGTGACTTGTTTCGTCATGACCACAGGGGAAGCTTACTGACGAGTGAGGAAACTGATGAAGCCTAGGTCGGGGGTTCCTTGTCCAGCAGCCACCTTACATAGGATGTTTTGAGGATGGCTATAGTTGTCGTTCAGTGGCAGTGTCTATCATTGAGAGGTGTACAACAGGAGCATATCGATTTTCTACAGGCTCTCTAGTAGAACAGATTTGTTGGAGTCAGAGCCTAAGGCGAACTGTCGTCGGAACCGCTTACTTCAGATTATGTTTATCGCGATTGTCCGTTTTCTCCATTCGTATTTAGCTTCGCAATGGAAATGCTTTTAAAAATAACGCATTGATGGACGAACGATGTTTTGTGATGTATGTGTTGGTTGAAGGAATGTTATGGGCGCTCGAAAGAAGACATGGCATAAATCCCTAAAGTCACTGACTACTGAATTCAGTGGTGTTAGTAGCTGTAGACTGCGAGATAATGGTAACGGATGGTTAGGGACTATGAATGACATTGTTCATTGCAACGGCACAAATGCATCTGTTCTTATTTATATAATTTAAACACAGAAACATTAGTAAATAGTGGCACCTAAATGTTTGTGCGCGACACCAATTATTGAACTTGTGAGTTGGTTGGGATTCTGTCCGAGTGCTCAAACGGAGTCGGACAATAAATGACAGCTTTTAATTCAACGAACAAAGAAGGTACGAAACTTAATGGTTTAGCCTTTTGCCTATTTCGAATCAAGTTATACAATAAATGCTTGAAAAGTAGCTTTGATTGTTTGTCAATGTTTGTTTATTCCTCTGTTCACACTTGTTATAGGTGGATGAGAATGGTGCAGTGGCAGCTGCATCAACAGCAACTTCGATCGTCTAATGCATAGCTGTATGGTCGTGCAAACCTGTAGGAGAATTTCATATTGTTCATTGATTCTTCACATCCTTTGTTTGCAATGATACTCTACCAATATTTCTTAGACATGGGATATTAACATTGAGTTCGTGATAAGTGAGGCTGTGACTAGAGCCTACAGAAAAGTGTTTTTTCTCCAGAAAGGAAGTATCTTACAATTTTTGAAGATTCAGCAAATTGCATGTGTATTTATTGAATTATTCCCATGTGCCTAACTAATCAAATTTTTAATAGAAGAATTTGTTTTGATATCTTGTTAAACCATTTTTACTTCTGTGATCATGTAATGATTTTGTTAACTTTATGTTCACATGACCACTGATGAATAATTCATGGAAGTTTGTTCTATTGTCAATATTTGTTTTTTTATTTAAATTAAGTTTGAATTCTCATAGGTATACAGGAAGAGACATTTCGAACGGTGATATAACTGTGGTAATGCTCGTTATTGCAACGACATCTGACCCATAATGAATCACTTCGGAATGCGCTGATACAGCTGAGGTTGAGAACAGTTTGCTTTAATGCAGTTATGCTCACTCAGTGATTCGCTTCTAGCCACTAGTAGGGACGTTCTAATCACTGATTTCCTTCTTCGCCCCAACTTGGTTAACATATGCGATGTAGGTACAAGAAAGGAAGTTGAAAGTGCTTGATTTGCAAGTGGTGGGATGGGAGAACTTTGTGTACGCGGACAACAATTCAGCTGGTGCCAGTAACTTGACACATGGTTTCGATGTCTTGATCATCTTGCAAGGATATGTGGGTGACTTTGATATGGTGTATGATTTGGTAGAAGTGAGTCAAACAGCGATGAGATGGTTACTCCCCAACATCTCATTGTAGTGCAAAATGAAGCTGTGTAAGACCGATATTTTTCTGTCTTTCATTATTTTCTTGTTTTTCTCCTAACGATAACATCGAAATCGTATTAGAATGGAAGCGCGCTGTGGTCTTGTTGTAGTTCCTTTTAATATTTCTTGTTAAATTCAGATGAATCCCAGTGACTGACTGAAATGTTCCCTAACTGCACTTACCAGAGTTGTCTCTTACACTAAATACTTGTTTTTCGCTGATGCTATTGGTGTTTGGAAATGTTATCTGAAGAAATCACACCTACGATGTAGCTTCAATATTGAGTCAGCATTTATTAACAAGTCCTAAAGACTGACGTGGCGCGTCACTATTGACTCACCACTCAGCTGTATTCTAGCTTAATGTTTCATAGTCAGTATCGAGAACACGGTATATCCACTGACGATTGATGGCTTTGACTAAAGTGAGAGGTATGTTTAAGATACACTGTTCAGATTGATATGGTAACCGCAACGTCATCTCAGAGAAGTGTAATAGCTGTCATCTATCCATCAGATTTACATTGTGATCAGGGTGGAGTTAGGAGTTTCATTTCGTTGATGTAGTAAACAGGATGTTACGGTACGAAGGTCTTCATAGCGAGAAGCAACTTGAAATGAAAAATGTACGAATATCCGTAGAGGGTCTCACTAGACAGAAAATAAAACTAAGTTCAATCTTTATCAACAAATGTTAGATAAATGTATTTCGAATATATGATATACGATGAACTATGAAATCTCTATCAGATATTCCTTAAAAGCCGCCATGTATTCAGGTTTTTGAGCTAAACATGAAACGCAAAATACAATTAGCGTTTCCTAACACAGTTCTTAAGAAAACTGTTTTCATGATCATTGAGTTGAAAGGAAACAGTGCTGTGGAAATTTTGAAGAATCGTGTAATAGGATATTTAAATAGTGTTGTATGTCACCAAGCATCATACAGTGCTTTCGAGCAGTTTCAATATTCGTGAATATGTGTATTTATTAGTTCATGCACTCTTGTAGAGCATGTTACATATCACAATAACTTGAAATATAGTTGTTAGAATAAGTGATTGATAGTGTTTATTTACATGAGAACTGTTATTATCCTTACCCACTTTGTTTCAAATGTTGGCAAGTCAAGGCTACGAATATCTGAGGTAACATTTGCATATATTAGTAATTGTAAGTCACTTTAATCTTGGAATGAACATCACTGTTTCGGTGAAATATGCGAAACGATTCAGCGAATAATTGCAAAACAAGTTTAAATTGATGAGCACATGTTAGATAATTTTCCAATCGCGTGGTATATGAGTTGATAATATTGTTGTCATAGACTATATAAAGTCAATTATTTATTTTAAAACTATGAATTATTCAGATTATAAGGTTGAATTCCGAATGACTGTAGTTTAATAGTTGTAGATCATCTGACATAGATTGCCTAGATGACGATGTTGTGAAGTGGGGAATTATAAGTGACGGTTATCCTCACATGTCTCTTATGAGATTATAGCATGTGAAATCACCATGGAATTAATCTTTGTTTGCTTGTAAACCATGTGGTGTCAGAGAGCGTGTTTTACTTAAGGATTGATAACGATATTTCGTGTTCGCTGCTGTATTCAGTTGTATTTAGTTTAGTATGTTGTGGAGTATACAGTCAGCGATATATGACCATAATGCTTCTTAGGGTTGCAGTGTCAAAGTTGTAACTGAGATGGATTAACTTATTGATGTAATAACACACCACTAGTGATGAATGAGAATGTTCTCAATGCAGGCAAATAATTTTTGTTCGTATTAGCTGAATCCAGTGAAAAGCGAACTATGCAGTAAGCACGCAACTCGACAGTTTGATGTGAGAATGCTAGTTGAGTAACCATTGGATTCACTTTCTAAGTTTAAAGAACTAATAATGTCACCAACGGTAACCGATGACTTCAAGTATGTTGTCTTTCTACAATAGAGGCGGACACCTGCTAATTTTGTTAGCAATCACTTCATTGGCGCTAAGAGATTGAGCTGAATCTCTCTGCTCTGCGTATACTCAAAACCACAAGTCACGCAATTTTACCCGTAGAATTCTAGATATGTCACTATTTCTATATATTTATGATCAAATATTTTCGTGAATTATGAAATTCGCTAACAAAACCAGCTGAAAATGTCAATAGAACTGTCCAGCGTAGGTGTTCATGTTGTTGTGCTTCCATTTTAGGACTCCCTATTATTTCCATTGTATCATGTAAACCAGAGGGATGAAGTAACAGTGAATTTTGAAAGAGAAACGATACACGAAGAATCTGATAAAAAAATGCTAAGTGAATTACAATCAAAATTACCTTCCACAAACAATAGAGGATGAAACTACTCTGAGAATAAATATACCAACGTGGTAAGAATTACGATCACATGAAATAATCATGCGAATATCTCAGTCCTGTATTAGATTAGCCACCGCTTAGCCGATTCAATCATAATGGTTCCCAATATGATGTCAGAATTCTATGAGGGAAATTTACGTCCTACTCTTGTCAGACAGCAAAAAACTAAACTTATATAGGGTTTCCTTCAGGTTATGACTAACTTCCAAATATATCATATCTCAAATTGGAGTAAACAACCTTAATTATCCATACTTTCAGTATGTAATTGCAGTTTGGATTAGCTGTTTTCTCCAGAGTTCATCTTCTACATCAGTTCTAATAGTCGCCTTGAAAGTATAGTTCCGATTGGAAAACAGTTAGAAACATGAAGTTCAGCAAACAGATAGTCACACTGTATCAGTGATAATGAAACAATCTTCTCTCAACTTCACAGGGTGTTTGTAAATAAACAATGGAAGTGTAACTGATCAACAAACACTGAATAGAATGAGTTGATGGGAAAATATGTTCTATTGTATTCAGAACAATAAACATGTTGATGTGATGCATGGTCGAATGAAAAATATTTGTGAAAATAAACAATTGTAGAGGACATAAACAATTTTGTGGAAAGAGGTACAAGTTTTTATAAAAGTGTTTATGGAACGACAACAACAAGACTCAATGTGATATCAAAAGTTTGAAAATATTCAGGGTTTTGTTTTCCACTTATCTGTTATCATTTTCACATCGCATCTTATTCAGATCCATTGTTTACATTTCTAGCTAAATGATAACCACTGTTTATTTTAGAGTTTTCTACGGATCATCTTTCAAGATGTATATACATGAGAAATTTGAGAGCTTAGTTCTCTCACATGCAGTGTAAACAAAGAATCAACTTGATCAGTGAGGCAGAAATAATTCAAACACTTAGCCATATGGTGTAAATATCAACAATACAATGTACTTTATCGGCCATTCAGTGTTTTGTTGTGAATGAAAATACACATTGAACTGATGCATAAACAACGAATTGTGGTGTGAATAGAATGAGTTGTTAGGGATATTTATCTTGTTGTTTCGTTAATGATAAACAGGTTGATGTGAGTGAGAAACGAGTTGAAATGATGTCAATAAGCAAAATTGGTGATGAGAATAAAAATTACACCACATAAACAAATGCACATGTTCATCTATGTGATAATTATGAAAATAACAATGATAGGTGAAGGTCAGTGTTGGAAATGTCAGAGATGGAATAAGTTTCATTTGTTAACAGAAATACAATGTAATTCAACGCACTTTCTTTTCAAATGATGAAACGTCTAGATATGTGAAAGCAACGCTTTAATCAACAGTGAAATGCTTTTGTGAGATAACTATACGACTGAAGTAAATGCAATGATTAGGCATAAAACTTCACTGTGAATTCGCTTCATAGTTTACACAGAAACAATCTAGAATTAGTTTCAAGTTGTTTTGTGAAAGCGGACTGTTACTACTACGGTTACTTTTCCGGCGAGCATCATTGTGCAATTCAAGGCATAAATAAGAACATGTAATCGTTTAAAAGTATACATAACATAACAAACTTGTTTGATTCCGATGAATACATATCAACTTGAACTAATCTATAGAACAGATCATTGAACGCAATTCACCGAAGTTCTCACATTCTGTTCACTTTGTGAGTTGATCATAATTAAATTATAACCCTAGACTTTGATATTACACCAGAACTTCAGTATGTTAATATGATTAAAAATTGATATCATATAATTACACATTCGATTTGACCCCCAAATATATGAAGTCAATCAGACTGGAAGTAAAAATTATCCACCATGCTACTGAACATCTATTTTCAATATACTTAACATCTGTGTGAATTAGATAAGATTGACTTATCAAAGCAATCTATTTATTCAAGTGATTTGAACAAATTGTTACTTATGGAATGTTAATGTTGCTAAACATTGATTATCACACGTTTATGAATAGACAGACGGTTTGCAGATA